TATATACGCGTATATAACGCCATCTGGTCAAGGGTCAATGCACATGAATGCAATGCATGAAAAGTACGTCAATAAAATCATTCAGAATGTCATAAGACCATTTTGCCTCTTGAGCAATATCATAAAGTAACATCTTTTTAACTTTCGTATTTTTCTGAGACCCATGAACAGATGATAAAATATTACGACACATGAGAATTAAAGAACATAGATATTTCTATTACTTCTATGAGTAGAGTCACTTATGGAATTTGTGCATTTGCACGTTTCGTTCATATCGTATGGATCATGCCAAATGAAAGAAGGGATCGCCTTAACATATCTGGAGTAGGGAAAATTTCGTGTGATATTCTTGAGAAGGTTTACACTGTATTCCCTTAAATTTGCAGAATCTCTATTTGAGTTATAAAAGACTTGTACCCTTCCATATTAGTTTCAGATTGCCTTCACGAGAAGCCTTCCTAATCTCTTTTTTTGTTCAATAAGGATCTTATTGAATATGTAATGAACGAAAATAGATTATCAGCAGCAAAGGCAACAAAAATTTGGCAGAGACGTTCCACTCTGGAATCGATTGTGATAACTGAGATTTCAACAGTGTATGTTTTAGGCGTCTACCATTTGAAATGTAAATGTGATTACACTGTCCATTACCTCTCCATAAAATAACTCAACTGTAAAGTAAAGGCAGTTTGTTTTTACCTAACAAGAAAAAGGCAATAAAATCAGCTAGACCACTACACATGTATAGCTCATGAGTGAACCTTTCTAATCTCCCCAACGTTGAAGATATGAATCTTCTAATTGTAAGATAAATATGTAATTTTTGAAATTCAAGACTTGTCTCTTATTTTGTTGCCACCTGATCCCAATATGACTAAAGAGTCATTGCATCTTAAGTCTCTTGTTGCCACCTTACTTTGTTAATTAAAGAGTCATTTGGTTGATTATCTCATGCTGTCACGTTTGGGGTGGGTGGAAAAAGTTTAATCTTATCCCAATTTTAATAGTTAACCGGGTAATATTCTGTTACCCGGTAATTAATCAATTACTCGCATAACTTAAAAATTATCTCAAATTACTTAAAATTTTACTTATTTTTAATATATTTTATACACCTTACTATTATATTATGGCTATGGGGTGCCTTGCATGGTACTAGTCCATAAATACCAGGTGTTTTAGCTCGGGCCGTATTTTATTCCAAAATGCTAAACTTTGACAAAATTCATTTTGTTAGACTTGTTCCCTCTTTCACCTTCATGAATTTACTAATCACTTGTGAAATAGCATAATCCTTATAATCTCCAAATAATCTTTTACTTGGACTGATGTCAATTACCTTACGACAAATCCAACGTACAATACTACAGGGTGCAACATCGTCGTAACTTAATACTGCGAAACGTAACATCACCGTAGTATAATACTGCAGGACGTAATATCATCATAATATACTACTGCAGAGGGTAACATCATCGTAATATATTACTGCAGAGCATAACATCGACGTAATATTGCGGGGCGTAACATCCTCTGCCAAGGAAGGAAGAGGAAGTGTATAGCCGATGACGAGCAGATACTCGTAGAATGCACGGTATCCAGGGTGGTGAATTTGTACCACATCGTCACCAGCCGGGATGAGGTCGATATGGTCTGGGATTCACCATTTGGCCCTAAATTCAAGAAGGTCTGCCGCATCCATCTCAGAGGTAACATGCTCAAGATCATCTTCAGACCGCTTTGAGAAGTCCGACCTGGCCCTTATTGAGCGTGGAATTATCTCATCCACAGTAGGAAAACTCTCATCTTCTGCAGCCATAACTCCTCCTTCATCATGACAAGGTATGTCTACCATCATTGGAACCGAATTAGAAGCTACCTCAGAGTTAGAAGATGCACTAGCCATTTTCTATCACCTAAATGGGAAGAAATTGAAGATATGACAGGGGTGATAATGGCAGAAAGCACTAAAATGGGGAGAAATAAAGATATAAGAACTCTGAGGAAAAGGAGAGAAGGCTTGAAAATTCAGATACTTAGAAGTGCAACAAATCAAGTGGGGGGGGGGGGGGTTCCCATCTCTATTTATAAGAATACCGGCACCATAATCGAAAAAGCCAAGCGCCATATTGATTTCGAAACGGAAGGGGCGCGAAATGACGTAACGTATCGGGAACATGTGCCATAATGACGCATGACGAAATGATGTCATTTCAAGCTGACATAATGGTCAGATATGGCTCTCGAAGCGCTACGTCGTCACCCCTCCATAAAAATATTGCTACTCGACCGCCATGCCCAAATTTCTCAAGTTGAAAATGACGAAGTCCGCCCAGTGAGCTCGTCCAAAAAACAACCTCGGCAGGCAGAGAGACTAACGGTATGGGTTGAAATCTGTCCAAGGGAATCTTGCTGAAAGGTAGACTACTAAGAGACGATTAGCTCGAGGTCGTACTCGAGATGGAAGGAACCTATCGGCGAGCCGAGTAACCGGGGTCAAGGTCAAAAACTCAGGTCGGCCATAACAGCTAGTTTTGTAGCAAGCTATTTTAGCGAAATATTCTATTGAATATTCTCTGCACTTGTACTTTATGTTAGGTAAGGGATATGTTCCATATAATAGAAAGGTAGAGAGAAGAAATGGGGCACGTAATATTCTATATGATAAGGACTCTCATGAAAAGTTGATTCTCAAGTAAATTACAAACATTGCATTTCCATAAAGATTCGATTTGATGTTTATCCCACATTTTCTCGCATCAGATCCGAGAAAGCTCTCTATATTCTCACGTTCTTTTGTCTTACATCATTGTCAGAGAGAATCATCCACCTCATTCAATATTTGGGTGAATCATTCTATGTATTTACATTTAGTGTCATTTAATGTATTTATTACCTATCATTATTCTCATTTCATTCATAGCAGTTTCATTTAATATTCATCACATTAAATAGGTTTTAACGTAATCCCACATTATTTGCATAAACATGTTTCAGATTTAGAATTTATTACGTTTAATTAGGATTTACCCATTACTCTCCTATTTAATTAGTTTAACAAAAGGTTTCATACTTTTTGGTGAAACAAATATGTGTAACAACTTTTTAGTGAAAAAATTGTGTTATCCTGTCAATCTCAATTCGATTTTTTTGCTTGATATATAACAAAACGAAACACGATATTTTTATTCTTTCAAATTTAAAATCACGTCAAAATAAATTTCCATTTTTACGTCATATTAGTTTGATCTTTTTTTATTTTTTTTGGAACACGCCTAATCTTGTGCATTCGTACTAGAGGATTGGTTATGTATTCACGTGGTCGACTAACTTTCGTCCAAACCCAAATAGTATTAATATATACTACTATTTAACTGTAACTTTAAATATAATTTTAACTTAAAATCGCTATACTTAAGCTTTAACTTTATTTGGATGCCTTAGCGCGGTGACCGCGGTCGCGTAATAATAATCACCGTATGTTTTGCCTTGGACTCCAAGGACGAATAGTCCAAAAGAATAAGAATAAATGAATGTCTTATGGCTACAAATCAACAACGAAGACTGTCCAATTAAAGGAAAAAATGTGACAGAACAGAAAGCAAAATGTGATTGGCTTCGATAGTAGGATCCAAAGGCCATACGTTCCTTTTAAATTTGACCAACGAAATAAGGCCACTTTTTAATTCCAACATAAAACAAGGTCACTCGTGATCAGTAATTTAGGACGCCATGCATTACATGTTAGCCGCCGAATGCATTAACGTATACATACTAAGGGAGGCCGAATCACGACCAGCTCCGTGACAGCCGCCACTCAATTGCCTGTTTTCTCCTAACCAAAAACCATAAGAAGCTAACCCAAGGCTAGCTCCCAGTATTTGCATACGGAATGACAGTATTTGGATCAACATCGCGTTTATTTGGTGAGCCAAATATGGTAACGATGCCAATCACCAATTCACCATATTGTATATTCAATTAGTAAATATAACTTTTTATTGTACTCATTTTTAAATTATAAGGTAATCCTAATTTGACTCGATAGAAAGAAAACATATATATATATGGTCATAGTACACTTACTCAAATTTAACATTTGCAAAAATACAAATAATTGCGTATTTGACTATGGTGTGTACTGCCTTAATTCCTAAGTCCTCTTTTTTATGCTTTTCATCCTTGGAATCTCTTCCAAAATACAAATTTCTTTCCTTTGCCAAAGCTCATTATCAAAATTTTTGTAGTCCCTTCTGAATCCAGCTATTAAAACCACTTTCCACTCTCCTTCTCTTATACAACCCCATCCCCATTGGTTCTTTTGGAGAGGCGTAAAAAAATTTAATTTTTTTTAATCTTTTCTAAAAATTATAGCTGACAAAAAGGTTTATTTTTTATATATATGTACCATTATATATATAAATTTACTATTTCTTTTGGCTTGTATATGTCATTAATTTCGACCAGCTATTTTTATATTTTGCCCTTAAAACTGAAACCGACATCAACAAATACAAATAAGCCAAAACCGCCCCCTGTTTCTCCTAAACATTTTCCTCTTATAAAACCCCAGAAATTACTCAAAGTAGTAGTCATCATTCGTTTCTAACATTTTCTAGAAAAACTGAATACTGTATTTCACTACTTCTTGAATCGCCATGGACGCGAAGATCGGAGCAATTGACACGTGTAAACCGGCGAACAACGATGTGGGAAGCTTACCAACAACCAACACCGTTACCATACACACACCTACCGTTCCGTTCAACTCACCGGACTCTACACTAGGCCGTCACTTAGCACGCCGTTTAGTACAAGTCGGTGTCACTGACGTTTTCGGCGTTCCCGGCGACTTTAACCTTACACTTTTAGACCACTTAATAGCTGAACCTGGGCTTAAATTTATTGGCTGTTGTAACGAGCTAAATGCTGGATATGCTGCTGATGGGTACGCTAGAGCTCGTGGTGTTGGGGCTTGTGTTGTGACTTTTACTGTTGGTGGACTTAGTGTTCTTAATGCCATTGCTGGTGCTTATAGTGAAAATCTTCCTTTGATATGTATTGTTGGTGGGCCTAATTCTAATGATTATGGAACTAATAGAATACTTCATCATACTATTGGATTGCCTGATTTTAGTCAAGAACTTCGTTGCTTTCAAACCGTCACTTGTTACCAGGTATAGTTTATAGCTTGCTACAAGAGTTTAGGTAATTTAGATTTTGTGTGTTCTAATTTTAGTTAAATATAGTATTGATTGATATAATTTTATGTTTTTCTTCTGTTTTTGGGTTTTCAGGCAGTGGTGAATAACTTAGAGGATGCACATGAACTGATCGATACAGCAATATCTACGGCGTTGAAAGAAAGTAAGCCGGTTTATATAAGCATAGGTTGTAACTTGCCGGGGATTCCACACCCCACTTTTAGCCGTGAACCGGTTCCATTTTGCCTCTCTCCTAGGTATATTATTGAGCATTTCATTTTATTCACTTTATGTGCTCTGTTTTCTTCATGTATGTAAGGATTTTTTTGTTGTGTGACAGTATGCTCTGTTTTCGTCAAGTTTAAGATGTTGATTTGAGCTTTTTATAAGTAGGAGAAGATATATTTTTTTGATTATTGAAGTATTGGAACAAAATATCAAAATGATAGTTATAAAGTAAGAAATGTCATATTGGATTTTATATTTTGAATAGGATTACCAATTTGTTTTCTTGAAGAATGGAATGTCATCAACCATGTTATATGTCTTGAAATAAAAAAGAGTTATCATATAAGCTGTTTTATAGTTACAATATCATATAATTTGGGACAGATGAATATCTTCTTTGGTGTTGATTCTGTTTTATAATTAATGTGGTCAAGGTGTTTACTTATATGGTTTTTATCTCGTATTAGATTGAGTAACCAGATGGGTTTGGAAGCAGCAGTGGAGGCAGCTGCAGAATTCTTAAACAAAGCTGTGAAACCAGTTGTTGTGGGAGGGCCAAAATTGCGTGTTGCAAAGGCATCTGAGGGGTTTGTTGAATTGGCGGATGCCAGTGGATATGCTGTTGCAGTGATGCCATCGGCTAAGGGGATGGTTCCAGAACATCACCCGCACTTCATTGGAACTTACTGGGGTGCAGTGAGCACGGCATTCTGTGCTGAAATTGTGGAATCCGCTGATGCTTACTTATTTGCTGGACCTATTTTTAATGACTATAGCTCTGTTGGGTATTCTCTGCTTCTTAAGAAAGAAAAAGCAATCATTGTCCAGCCGGATCGTGTGACTATTGCGAATGGACCTGCATTTGGTTGTGTTCTAATGAAGGATTTCCTTGCTGCGTTGGCCAAGAGGCTAAAGCACAACCCAACTGCATACGAGAATTATCGTAGGATTTATGTTCCAGAGGGACATCCTCTCAAGTGTGAGCCTAAGGAGGCATTGAGGGTTAATGTTCTCTTTGAGCACATTCAGAGGATGTTGTCTGGTGACACTGCTGTGATTGCGGAGACAGGGGACTCATGGTTCAATTGCCAGAAGCTTAAACTGCCCGAGGGATGCGGGTATGCTCCAAATGACCGAGTGAAATGCCATTTGGTATTTGCTTAAATGTTCATGTATATTGACTTGTTACTCTCTGGCTTTCTTTCAGGTATGAGTTCCAAATGCAGTATGGATCTATCGGTTGGTCTGTTGGCGCAACTCTTGGTTATGCTCAAGCAGCACGAGAAAAGAGGGTGATAGCTTTCATTGGTGATGGTAGCTTTCAGGTAAACAGATTGTTCTACGAACTAAATTTAGTACAGTGAATTGATTGGGTTCATCTATACAACAACAACAACATACCTAGTATAATCCCACGTAGTATAATCCCCGTAGTGGGGTAGTGGGGTCTGGGTTCATCTATACAATCATTTATTTATCGTTCCGTATGGCGACATTTTTTCAGGTGACTGCTCAGGATATATCAACAATGCTGCGATGCGGGCAGAGGACTATCATCTTCTTGATAAACAATGGTGGTTATACAATTGAAGTTGAGATCCACGACGGACCTTACAATGTGATTAAGAATTGGAATTACACTGGACTAGTTGATGCAATCCACAACGGGGAAGGAAAATGTTGGACAACCAAGGTGAGGGGAATTCTGATACGGAACAATGCCATTCATTTTGAGTTAAAAGATTCTAAATCAATTTATATTGTCATTGTTTCAATTATGCCAGGTTCATTGTGAAGAGGAGCTTGTGGAAGCAATTGAAACTGCAACTGAAGCCAAGAAAGATTGCTTGTGTTTCATTGAAGTGATTGTTCACAAGGATGACACCAGCAAAGAGCTGCTTGAATGGGGTTCTAGAGTCTCTGCAGCTAATAGTCGTCCGCCAAATCCTCAGTAATATTTCTGAATGCTCGTAGCTAGTTTCAGATTAGTGAAAATTCTGGTTTCCAAGTTGGCGAGTTCCCACGTTATATCTCATGTTTAATTTCTGGGGTTTGTATCCCGTGAGGGTATTCTGCTAGTATTGCTTGTTCATAAGATTGTCTATATTAGGATTGTTGTCTCTTCATTTGACAAAGTTTCGTTTACATGTTGTCTCGTTTATGAAACTTTGGACCTTGTTAATTGATCATAATATTGATCTACGTGAACAGAAGATATGACTGTATGAGCTCTTTTTTCTGGGTGCCTCTACAAGTAAGAGGATTAATATCTCGTTATATGGCCGACCTATTCGAGAGCCCAAGTAGAGAAGACATCGTTTTCATTGATAGTGCATCTTCTTGGATAGTCTGAGAGAGTTTTATGTGGTATAAAAAGAAAAGTGGGAGAAAAGCCTAGCTCGGTGTATAGAGCATTCTGCATGCGAGGTAGACAATGGAGGTAGATAATTATAGATCACGCGAAAACGATTTTAATGCTGCGCAAAGGCTCTCCTTTCTTTTTGTGGGAGTAAGTTGAAAAATTATAATCGGAAATATTCACAATTATAGATTACCCTACCGTTACTGGGAGAAAATTGAAAGATATAATAGGAAATATTGACAGTAGTGTAACCTCAAATTTTTCTAAAACACGACTGCAGCTCCCTCTATATTTGTGTAATCATAGATATGCTTGTTCCGACTTTCACAGGTCAGATCTACTACTCTTCTAACTCAGTAATTATTTGGAAGAAGAAATATTAAGTCAGAGTGCAATGTGTAGATCCTCAATCACCAATTCCTTACCAATATAAATAAATATTACTAATATATGTATGTTGTGAAGCTTAAGGTTTTATCTCTTGCTAGTGTACTATGACTAGGGGTGTACAAAGGAAACCGACAAATCGCACTAACCCGATAATTCGAGTCAAACCGAGAAAAAAAACTCAGACTATGGGTTGGTATTGGAAAAAAAACTCGACCATAATTAGTTTGGTTTGATTTTAACTAAACAAAGTCAAACCGAAACCAAACCAACCCGACATTACATATATAAAATTTTTAGATATATTTAATATATAAATATACTTATTGTGATGTAATTTATAAATCTTTCTTAAAAGATTTTATAATTTTATTTTTTGAGGTATTATTTTAAGGTTGAACTTAGAACTTTTGAATGTTCCAATAAGTTTTATAGTCATTAACATTAGTAAATTAAATAGTGCTAACAAAAGCCTAAACCAAAATCAAATCGATGCTAATTATAACAAAAGACATTTAATTCAATACTACGAACGAGAATGTATTGAATATCTATTTTTTTTTTGCAATAATTTTAAAAACATGCATAACCTATTTTTATTTTTTCTTTAGCGTTTAGTCATGTATTTAATAATCCCTTATTAGTCTACTTATTTTAGCATGACTTAGTACTCTTAGATTATGTTTATTTTTATTATGGCTTTTTAATTAACAATATTTATATTACATAATTTTATTGTCTTTATTGTTGAATATTTTAGGATAATGCCATGACATATCTCATATTTCGTATTATTTTCTTGGAAAATACTTTATATAGTTGTATCTTACTAGAACTAAAGAAAAAGTTTGAGCATAATTTATATGTTTTATTCTACGAAGATTTTACCGGAAAAGAATCCGAAAAGACCCGAAAAACCCGAAAACCCGAGAAAAACCGAGAAAAACGAGAGTGAAAAACCCGAGTTTTATTGGTTTGGTTTGGTCTTTAGATTTAATAATCCGACACAATTGGTTTGGTTTGGTAATTGTAAAATCCGAACCAACCCGACTTATGTACACCCCTAACTACAACTATAAACTATAAGTATAAATCCAGACAGATAATACCCAATTTTGGTGTCACGACCCCGGTTCGCCCTCCGTGAACCATCGTGACGGCACCTAGTCTCTACGACTAGGTAATCCTAAACTTGCGGAAGATAGCCAAAACTTGCGGAAGTAAACAATTTAAAAACAGAAATAAGGCAAATAACAGTGTTAAATGTGCCGCTCGGCATACACCATATTTATATAGATCTCAAAATCAATATCTATATCCAAGACCCGGAAACCCACGAATCACAAGCTAAGAAAAAGAAATACTACATAACTCTAACTTCGGAATTTGTCTAATAAGAATAGAAAGTACAGAAGGGCTAAATAATAAAAGGCAGGAATAGAAAGGGACTCCTCGGTCTGTGGACGCGGCAGATGTACCTCGAAGTCTCTAAGTAGTCGCCTCCCTCAAGGATGGTAGACCTAAGTAGAAGTACCTGAATCTGCACATGAAAAACATGCGCAGAAGAGGTATGAGTACACCACAGCGGTACTCAGTAAGTGCCAAGCCTAACCTTGGTTGGGTAGTGACGAAGAAGGTTAGGGCCCTACTGAGGTTAAATACAATATAAGGGTTAACAGTGAGGAATAAAACAGTATAAATAAGTGCAACAGTAAGAAATGACATAGAATTGACAGAACAACAATAACTAGAACAGAGACAAACCAAGCCACGGAAAGAAATACAGCTCAACACAGAGATAACAATCGAGCATCTTCTAGGATACCATCCTGTAGTTCCAATTACAAATGTCCAGTGGATCTCCCGGGATACCGTCCTGTAGTCCATCATATATATCCAAAAGATCTCCCGGGAACCCGTCCCGTAGTCCAACTATCAGTGCGTGAGGATCTACCGAAATTCCAATATGTAGTCCCAAATGTAAATACCCAGTACTGGGGGAATCTACCGGGTGCATTCCTGGAGTTCCATGTGCAAATGGATCTATCGGGAATCTAACCCGCAGTCCTAAAGTAAATGTGCAGGGAGGTCTATCGGGAATCTAACCCGCAATCCCAAAGTAAACAGACAAGGGGGAGCTACCGGAATCCCACATCCGTAGTCCCAATGTAAATACACAGCAGCCGCAAGAAAATATTCAGAGAAGGGAAATTTCATGTTAAGGCAACAAATAATTCTAGCCTAGCATGCTGCACTGAGTTCAGGTAAATAGACTGAACAATTAAAGTAATTAAATCACTTAGACATGATTTCCTAAGCTAACAACGGGCTTAATAGTACAAGTAATAAGAGCAGGAGAGGGAACATACTAATAAGTACTTAAAGAAAATNGATTCTACAATTAAATTCTAAGCTAATACGCGAAATTATGTAAAATGACCAAAATGCCCCTCGTGCCCACGTCTCGGAATCGGGTAAAATTTACATTTTCAGAAACCCCATACCCTCACGAGTCTAACCATATCAAAATTATCCAATTCCGATATCATTTGGTCCTTCAAATCATCATTTTACATTTTTGAAAGATTTCACAAGTTTCTTCCCAAATTCCATCCCAAATCGCGAATTAAATGATGGATTCATGTACTCTAGCCAAATCTGAGTTAGAATCACTTACCCCAATGAATTANAATCAGTTACCCGATGAATTTCTCGAAAAACCTTCGAAAAATCACCAAAATCCGAGCTCTCTAGGTCAAAATATGAAATAAAATCCAAAACCTCGTATTTATAGGACACCCCCCGAATTTCCACCACTGTGGACCGCACAAAAACGAGTGTCGTCCCAAAAAACCAGTGCGGTCCGCACAAAAACAAGTGATGTCCGCACAGGTTTTGACTGCAGTGACAGGCTTTAGTATTTTGGCCATAACTTTATCTACAGATGTCCAAATTGTGATTTCTTTATCTTTCTGGAAACTAGACACGAAGGGTTACAACCTTTGGTTTTGAATCATCCCAAAATTCTTTATAGATCAAAAGATATGAGCTTCCGAAATAGGACCAGTGAAATTTTCCTCACCGCGGACCGCACTGCATTTTGTGCGGCCGCACATTCTCCACCGCGGATGCACTGGATTTTGTGCGGACCACACTGGTGGGTTCTGAGGCCTGCAACTCTTCTGGACCTGCAACAGCTATGATTTTTGGTCTAAACATCCCGGAACTCACCCGAGTCCCCGGGACTTCAAACCAATTGTACCAACACATCCCATGACATCGTTCAAACTTGTTCAAAACTTCGGAACGCTCACAACAACATCAAATCACCAATTTAACATAAGATTCAAGCCTAAGAACTCCAAGAACTCTTAACTTATGCTTTCGATCAAAAAGTCTATCAAATCTCGTCCGAATGACCTGAAATTTTGCAAGCACGTCACATTCAACACTACGGAGCTACTCCAGTTCTCGGAATTCCATTCCGACCCTTAGATCAAAATCTCACTATCGGACCGGAAACTTCAAAAATTCGACTCTCGCTATTTCAAGCCTAAATTAGCTACGGACCTCCAAAACACAATCCGATCACGCCCCTAAGCCCAAAATCACCCAACGGAGCTGACGGAATCGTCAGATTTCCATTCCGAGGCCGTCTTCACACTGTTCCTACTACGGTCAACTTTCCAACACTTAAGCCCTCATTCTGGGACTAAGTGTCCCAAAACTCAAAACTGAACATCCTGGCAAATCAAAATAGCAGAAATAAACTCGGGAAAGCAATTAATAGGGGATCGCGGCGTTAATTCTTAAGACAATCGGCCGGGTCGTCACATCCTCCTACACTTAAGCATTCATTCGTCCTTGAACGAGCATAGAGACATACCTGAAGTATTGAAAAGATAAGGGTAACGGCTGCGCATATCTTGCTCGATCTCCCAGGTCGCCTCCTCGATCGGTTGGCCCCGCCATTGAACCTTCACCGATGAAATGTTCTTTGACCTTAGTTTTCTGACCTGCCTGTACAATATTGCCACTGGCTGCTCAACATAAGATAGATCCTTGTCCAACTAGACTGAACTGAAATTCAACACGTGCGACGGATCGCCGTGATACCTCCGAAGCATCGAAACATGAAATACCGGATGAACTCCTGCCAAGATGGGAGGTAAGGCAAGCTCATAAGAAACCTCCCCAACACGCATCAATATCTCAAAAGGGCCAATAAACCTCGGACTCAACTTACCTTTCTTCCCGAATCTCATAAAGCCCTTCATAGGCGAAACCCGAAGCAGAACCCGCTCTCCAACCATATAGGAAACATCACGAACCTTCCGGTCCGCGTAACCCTTCTGTCTGGACTGGGATGTGTGGAGTCTATCCTGAATCACCTTAACTTTCTCCAAGGCATCCTGAACCAGGTCTGTGCCCAACAATTTGGCCTCACCCGGCTCAAACCAACACACCGGGGATCTA